CATGTTCCGCCTAAACATTTCAATGAAATGTTGACACATTTACCTTCGATGGTCAATGTTCCAATCTCTTGTTAAAAAGGTGAAAAATTGACACCTGCTGTCCTCAGTGCACACTTTTTGACAGTAGTGGACGTCTGGTGCATGGACTGATTCAATGTCATTTCCAGGAAAATCTACATCAGACAGCAAATCACGTACACATTCTGTGATAAAATTGTTTTGTGTTAATATGCTGTTTATTAGAAATGTATATGAAATTGTGAAAGTTTTTAAGCAGACCCTCATCCAGTCCATACTCCAGTGCACTGCAATTTCCTTCCTTAACGTGCATTGACCCAGTTCACTTTTGCGGGTTATTCTTTGATTTGTTTCCATCATGGTCCCAGGCAGTACAATCCTGGTCACAACATCTTACTTCATGTTTTTTTTTCCCTAATGTCTCCTCTTCTTTGTTTGTGAATTACCTCATATCTGATTCCTCTGGTAATTTACCTTTCTGGCCCTGGAATCATCATCATTAACTCCCTCCCCACATCCTTGCAGGAAATAAACCATGGTTTAAAATAGGCATAACCAATGCATATGCTGCGGTAATCAGGTGTGAAGGTTTCAATTACCTTCCCTATTTTCCCTTTTCAAATGATAAACAAACAAACATCGAATTTAGGAACAGGAGCAGAACTAGGATCTTTCGTTTTTCAAGCTTCCTTCATCATTCAATAAAATCATGGCTGATCTGAATAATCCACACATTTCCCGAGGCCCAATAACCTTTCAATCTGTTGCTGATCAAGAATTTATCTACTATTGCCTTTAAAATGTTGAAGGACTCTGTTTTTATTCCCTTTTCAGGAATTGAGTTCTAAGGTCTCCCAACCTTCTGTAAAAAATAACTTCTGAATTCTATCTTTAATAGGTGACCCCTTATATTTATAAACTGTGTGTTTTAATTCCACTTGATTAATCTCTGACTTTCCAAGTGCAAGTTAATTCTGTCTCTCAGAATTGCTTCCCATAGATTATCCACCATTAAGGTTAGATTGACTGGTTTATAATTTCCTGATTTATCCCATATTTCCTTCTTGAATAACAGAACTATATTGCCTATCCTCCAGTACTCTTGCACCTCTCCAGTGGCCAAAGAAGAATTGAAAATTATTGGCAGCACTCCTGCTATTTCCTCTCTTGACTCACTCAACATCCTGAGATGCATTTAATCTGGACCTGGTTTTTTATCTACTTTTAAGCCTGCCAGACACTCAGAACCTCCCTGAATCTATACTATTTTCTTTAATTGCATCACAGTCCGTCTACTTGATTTCTATACTCACATCATCCCTCTCACTAATGAATACTGTCATTTAGAACCTTACTTTTATCATGTGGCCCCACATGCAAATTATCACCGAGGTTCTTAATGGACTCTACTCTTTCCCTCGTTATCCTTTCATCCTTAGTATACTAGTAATATGACTTAGGATTTCCTCTTTATTTTACCTGTGATTGTTCATTCATACCTCCTGTTCATTCTCCTAATTTCCTTTTAAAATTTCCCCTTGCACATTCTGTTCTCCTCTAGTGTTTCTGCTATTGTGAGGCCTTGGTATTTGCCATGAGCTTCCCATTTTCTCTTTTTCCAATCCCGTACATCCATGATATCCAGGATTTGCTGGATTTGTTGGTACCACCCTTCATCTTTTTTGGAACATGTTGGCCCTGTTCTCTTCATATTTCCTACCTGAATGCATTCCACAGCTCTGATACAGATGGGGTAACAAGCAGGATAGACAAAGGGAAAGCAATAGATTAAATATAGTTGGATTTTCAGATGGTGTTGGATAAGGTACCACACATTCGGCTATTTAATAAGAGCCCATGGTGTTGGTAGAAGTATATTAGCATGGACAGAAGATTGGCTAATTAATAGAAGATAGTGAGTTGGGATAAGGGGAATATTTCCTGGATGTAACTACTGTAGTGCAACAGTGGTCAATGCTGGGGCCACAATTATTTACAATGTATATTAATAACTTGGATGAGGAAAGTGAATGTAGTATGGCCAAACTTGTAGATGACATAAAAATAAATGGGAAGTCAAATGATTACAATGCCACAAAGAGTTCACCGAGATGTACAGATAGCTTAACCAATTGGTGAAAAAATGGGTAAATGGAAAAATAATGTGAAAAATATAAGGTTACGTACTTTTGCAAGATAAAAAGAGGAATATTATTTAAATGCAGAAAGATTGCAGAAAGCTATGAAATCGAGGGACTTGAGAGTTTTTTAAAACTTATTCACAGGATGAGGGCGCTGCTGGCTAGACAGCATTTATTGCCTATCCCTAATTGCCCAGAGGGCAGCTAAAAGTCAACCACATTGCTATGGGATTGGAGTCACATGTAGGCCAGTCCAGGTAAGGATGGCAGTTTCCTTCCCTAAAGGACAGTAGAGAACCAGATGGGTTTTTCTGACATTCAATTCATGGACATCATTAGATTCTTAATTCTAGACATTTATTGAATTCAAATTCCACCATCTGCCATGGTGGGATTCAAACCCAGAACATTACCTGGGTCTTTGGATTAACATCCCAGCGATAATACCACTATGCTATCACCTCCCCACAAGTCCTCATCAATGAATCACAAAAATCTAGCATCCAAGTTCGCAAGGGTAATAGGGAAGGCAAATAGAATGTTGGCCATGACAAAAGCACATAATCAGATCTTTAAATGTTTCAAAGTACATCACAGCTGATAAGCCACTTTGAAGTAGGTCACTGTTGTAATGAAGGAAATAGTGGACATTAAGCAAAGTTTTAATGGCAATGGAATTTGTTTTGGTAACCTTGGCAGATGGATAACTATTGGCCATGGCATAAGGAATAGCTCTTCTGCTTTATTTTGTGATAGTGCTGCTTATTTTATGGTAGGGAAGCTTTGTTAAAACTACAAGAAACTAGTAAGACACAGCTGGAATGCTGCAAACAGTTTTGGGCCTCTTATGTGTGGAAAGATATACTGGCATTGCAGATAATCCAGCGCAAGTTCATTCAACTGGTTCTGTGTATGAATGGGTTTTAATATGAGGAGAAGTTGAGTCTGTTGGGCTTGTATTCATTGGAGCTTAGAAGAGCAAGATGCAACCTTCTTTAAGCTTATAAGATTCTCAGGGGACTTGATATGTTAGATGTGGAAATGTTGCTTACCCTTGAGTCTAGCACCAGAGGGCATAATCTCAGAGTAAGGTGTCCTTTTAAGACAGAGATGAGGAAGAATTTCTTCTCTCAGAAGGTTGTGAATCTCTGGATAGACAGATTTTAATCAGCAAGGGAGTCAAGGTTATAGAGAAAAGGAAGAAATGAGGAGGTGAGGATTATCAGATCCCTCATGACATATTGAATGCAAAGCAGACTCGATGGGTTGAATAGCTTACCTGTGCTCCTGTGTCTTATGATCTTATGGGCATAGAAAGAAGATGGGTGAGGTGACAGGAACCAGCGTATAGGCACAATCGCATCATTTTCTGATTGGAAAAATGTAATGAAAGGTGTGCCACAGGGGTCGGTGCTCCAATTATTTTACAATTTGTATGAATGATTTGCATGAATGAATTGATTATGGTAACTAAATTTGGTGAATACACAAAGACAGATAAAGTTGTGTAGGGAACATAAGGAGAGTATTAAGGGAGAGAAGATAGATTAACTGAGCAGTTGAGATTTGGCAAGTGGAGTTTCATATAAGAAAATGTCGAAATGTCAACTTTGGCAGAAGAATAGTAAAGAAGCATATTATATAAATGATGAGAAATTGCAGTGCACTGAGATAGAGAGGGGCATGGGTGTCTTAGAACCTGAGTTGCAAAAAGTTCATCTGCAAGTACAACAAATAATTAGGAAACCTAATAGAATGTTGTCATCTATTGCAAGGAGCAGTGAATACAAAAGTAGGGAGGTTATTCTTCAATTACACAGGGATTAGTGAAGGATACAGTGTTACAGCTGCCAAGAAGGTGCAGAGACAGATCAACATTAACACTAAAAAAGTCCATTCAAAAGTCCGATAACAATGGGAAAGAAGCTGTTCTTGAAAGAGTAAAAGTAATATCCATCAAGCTTCTTTAATTAACTCAAAATAATTGAGATAACACAGTGTGGAGCTGGAGGAACACAGCAGGCCAGGCAGCATCAGAGGAGCAGGAAAGCTGATGTTTCGGGTCGGGAACCTTCTTCAGAAATGGGAGAGGGGAAGAGGGCTCTGAAATAAATTGTGAGTGGAGGGGCGGATA